TGCATTTTACTTTATAATTTAAAAACGTTCTACTCTTGCATATTGTGCATATTTTAGATTTTTTTTGTATTATTGTCATTGCAGACAATAACTGATGAGCTTTTTTCTTGCTCGCCTATTTTCTAAGTCTAGTTTTGTTTATTTTACTGCTAACTCATTAGCGATGCTAACTAGCTATGTAACATCATGCATCTGGTGCAATGTTATGAAAGGCAAATTAAAGCAGCAGCAAATGCATAATTTGCATGAAAACATTATTCCACTGCAGCCAAATACAGAGGTACAATTAAAGCCTCTCAGATCTAGTTAGGGAGACAATCAATAACTTTAGTCTGCAGTGTAAAATATAAAGTAATATTAAGATTCATGTGGAAATCTTTGAGTAAAATATAACATTGCCTTAACTGCATCGTGGTGATATGTTTATATAGTGTGAAAACCTGGTGATCTGTGTGTTTTACTTCTTAGTAGCTCCCTCTGTTCGTCTCTATGGTCCTGTGAATCTAGCATGTACCACCCAGGAATCAGATGACTAAATATTTATACTGGGGCAGCGGCTTTTCCATGAGCTAATCCAATTAGAATAATTCTTTGAAGATGATGCACAGCACCACGGCAAAATAAAAACGCACCATTCAGTAGAGATTTCTCTCTTATTGTGAAAGGGGAAGCTGGAGTAGCTGGTGAAGTGTTTGATTGTCTCTTGAAGAATTCATGTTCAGAAGGTGAGCTCTCCTGTGTGTGATCCCTTTATGCCTTCTTTGTTAGTATGACAGAACAAACAGCAACACAGCTGACGTCGTGCTGTTCGACATCTGGGGAAAAAAACACACGACAACCAGGGATGCTGAAAAGATTTTCTTCCATAACAGCTGATAAGTGTAAATGTTTCCACAGCTCTGACATGAACTTCCTGCACAACACACCATTAGCTTAATGCTTAATTTCCACTATCTCTGATCTGGCAACCCAGCAACAAACCAACCCCATTTAATGATACACTGTCAAGATGTTTCCCATTGGCCTTCATTTAGTCTGTCCAAACACTGTAAAACAATATCCTCACAAACTACACACGAGCTAATAGCCTCACTTATTGGTTTCCAGAGCACGGCTACAAATCTGCCCTGTATTTCAACAAGGATATGATCATCTCCAGGCAAGAACAATTTCAAAGAAGGCCACTGAGGGACCATCTGAAATCATCCGATGCCTCTTTTGCAATAAGGCAGTTTCCTCCGTGTTTTCTCATGACGTCATGTTTTTAACCTTTATTTCTGTCGAGCACAAGCTTCCCTTCAGCATCACTTTACTTCACACCCATATAGCTGCTCGTATCTCCATATATCTCGGAGCATGCACACCACAACCTCTGTCTTCCTCCGCTGGCCAATGAGCAGCTCCACTGGAGCGCTCTGGGATTAAATGTCTTGCTCTGGGGTATCTAGACAACTGTAAGAGTCCGGTTTATTATTTTTTTCCAAGACTCAAATAATGCTCTTAATGGCAACTTTCTAATTTTAGGATTATTTTCGAACCTTTAGTTCCTGCTTTTTATCACATGCTGGCTTTGTAGACTATCTGTTAACTATTAAATCTATTAAATTATTAGGTATTTTATCAGGTCAGGAGGATACAAACAACTATGGACACAAAGGCACAAAAACCCAAAATCTACACTATTTTTTTTTCTGTCTACGCGGTTTGCATTCGTAAATCTCATATTGATTTCTCCGGAGGTTAGAAGATGCTCATCCACAGTCGATATCCTGTTTTTTATTGTTCAGTTACAAAGCTGGATCTCAGTATTTCCATCCGGGGAAATAGACAAACACGCTCCATCTTTAATATGACTCCTTAGCGACAAAGGAGAGGTGAAAATCCGATGTAGAAGCCTAATTTAACATCGCACAAAGGAAGTGCAAATACAAAGCACTGTGACCTACAAAAGACAGCGTGTGATGCATTTCACCTCACTGTTGTGAATTAAATGAACTCTCAGCTTTCGGCTGCTTGTTGAAGCCTGAACCAGGTGGAACATGCACAATACTCACATCTGCATCATTACTGTAAAGGATCTGTGAGTTTTTTTCTTAGTGAAATAATTAAAACAAACAAAGACTTAATTCCACTGATGGATTACAGTAAAAACATTTCGATGGCTCTGTTGGGTTGTGGCTAATAATCAGCCTTGGATAATTGCACTGGGAGGATGTGGCTTCATTTATTATTAATCATGATCCCCAAAGTTTTAAAGATTCTTTGATCGGGATAAAGTGGGAGCAGAGAAAAGGTATAACCTGAACATGTTTCAAACCAGCTGTCTCCTGGACCTCCTCAGGACAAACACAGAGACAGTGAATCAACATTATCTCAGGAGTGATGCAATATTGAAACGCAGTCTGCTTTTAGCATTACAGCGCTCCTGGCCAGACTCGTGGGCTCGGGCAGAAAAACACAGAATCTGTTCAGCTTCAGGTAACTGTACACCCACTCAGCTGGACATGGAAAAGCACTCAGCTGTCCCACTCTCTGGTGTCTTGAGAAGGTCAACATAAGAACTGTAAAGTTAAAGGAATAAGCAAGACTTTGAAAGAGAAGTTTCACTTGGTTATAAGCATATATTTGATCTTTATTTTATAATTTCTCTGGATATGCACAGTTGTGCGGGGGTTAGCACTGATGCCTCACAGTAACATGGTCTCCTTCTGTGTACGTGTCTGACTGAGCACTGCTGATGCATGATGTTATGTAGTAAAAACAGATTCATATAGAATTCAATTGAATAGATTGGCCCTTGATACTGGATCGATTTGAGCCTATCAGTATCTCAACATTATAAACTTCCCACTTCATGTGCTTTCTATGACAGTTCCAAAAATAATAAATGCTAACATGTTAACATGCTCACACTGACAGTGCTATAAGAAGCAAAGTACTGGATAAACCTATAAAACGTTGTGGGAGAACCAAAGTTGCTATGATTCTTTCTTTGGGAAACAAACTTGGAGCAAATTTCACGGTAATTTATCCAATGGCTGTTGAAATATTTCAAGGACAAAGTGGTGTAACATGCCGTGGTTGTTATTGTGGCTTAACGTCATCAAAGCTAAATTTAAACTAAAATTAAATTAACCATTCAACTAATTATGACTTTTCCCAGTTTGACTTTGGACAAACTCCCCCATTATATGAGGAAACATTTTGGGAGAATAAAACCTTCTTTTCTGTTTCT